TCCTTCCTTCCTTCCCTCCTTCCTTCCTTCCTTCTCGATCCCTTCTCCTCCTTTTTTTCAGTTCCTTTCCTTCGTTTCTTATCCATTTTCATCTTCCTCTTTTCTTTCATTAACAGACTAAACTAATACAATCCATAGTCTATTCTCTAGTTCAATATCATTATCTCACATCCCCGCCTTAATTGGGCTCACCCCAAATCTATCGCTTGTTGGATGTTCGCATCGTTTACTCTTCAGGAATCCATTGGTGTTCCATCCAAAACTGTCCAGCCTCTTCCCGTTGTACATGATGAAAACAGGGTAAAAGTCATTACAGTCCATGTTATTTGAGATGTCGTACCAGTAATGTTGACCTGGGAGAAGACAAAGAATATGAAATGATGGTGATGATAATGATGATGTCAGCCAGTCGAAAACTTATGTGAGGCAACAAATATACTTCGCGATGCTGCACATCGCGATCGTGAGCTATAGCTGGGCTGATCTAATTCACAGCTAACACGCAGATTAGAACCCTGAAACAACCTCTATGCCGATCTAAGTCAGCGGGGTTTAACTCACAGATCAAACCCTGAAACAACCTCTGGGCTGATCTAAGTCAGGTCATGGCTAACTCACAGATTGAACCCTGAAACAACCTCTGGGGTCATCAAAGTCAGGGCACAGCTAATAGCTCACAGATCGAATTGGAATTTAGCTTGTTATGTTTTGGATAATAGTAGAAAACGGAGACAATTTAGCCTTGAATCAAGAGAGAAGCCCAACAAACTCTACTGTGAGTACAATAATACGCCACCGTTGAGTCGCAAAACTGACTGGACATACCCATCGTTGGAAAACATTTTCCTGCCACCCATTTTGAGCCAGTCAAATCTTCTTCTTTAAAGGGGATAACTATGGTACTATTGGTGGTCCCATCCAAGATAAGGAGCCGGTCACCATAGTAAATTCTTGTCTGGGTCCTACTGCATATGGTCCTTGGGTCCGTAAAGTAGGCGGTCATGACGTACATATCTCCTTCTCGGACCCATGGGTTTCTTTTGACTCCCACGATAGATCTTGCAGCCTAAAACAATGTAAACGTTAAGATCAATAGTCTCCTTCACAGTTCCCTGCGCCATCTTGAAAGGTAGCCGTGCCTTTGCATCGAAGCGAGACGAACGGTGAGCTTGCAATGATAGAGACCTTTTTTAAACACCTTGGACAATTATTCATATGTTCATATGGTTCCGCCAAAAGAAAGAAAAAAACAAAAAACAAAAAACAAGAAAAAACAAAAACAACAAACAAACAAAAACAAAACAAAACAAAACAAAAAAGAAAGAAAAGAAAGAAAGAAAGAAAGAAAGAAAGAAAGAAAAAAAGAAACAAAACTTCCGGAGTAGGTATACTTTTTAGGTCACCCATCCAGGTTCTAGCCTTCCTACACCGGGCTTGACTCGGTCTCTTAGAAGTCCAAGTTTTTTCCACTGGACCACGGTTCCCGGTGAATCAGCATAACAATAGCCGTGAAAACAATGCACCGGATAGACTAGACTTTTTAACATTAT